CTGTCAATATTAGGCAGATCAATGAGACAGAAAATTAACAATAATATCCAGGACTTCGACTCAGATCTGGACCAAGCAGACCTAATAAACATCTATGGAACCCTTCACCCCAAATCCACAGAATATACATTCTTCTCAGCACCACATCATACTTATTCCAAAATTGAGCACATAATTGGAAGTAAAACACTCCTCAGCAAACGCAAAAGAACAAAAATCATAATGGTCTCTCAGACCACAGTGCAATCAAATTAGAACTTAGGATTAAGAAACTCACTCAAAACTGCACAACTACATGGAAACTGAACAACCTGCTCCTGAGTGACTACTGGATAAACAATGAAATGAAGGCAAAAATAAAGATGTTCTTTGATACCAGTGTGAACGAAGATATAGTGTACCAGAATCGCTCAGACACATTTAAAGCAGTGTCTAGAGGAAAATTTATAGCACTAAATCCACACAAGAGAAACAAGGCAAGACCTAAAATTGACACCCTAACATCACAATTAAAATAACTAGAAGAGTAAGATTAATCAAATTCAAAAGCTAGCAGAAGACCAGAAATAACTAAGATTAGGGTGGAACTGAAGAAAATAGAGACACACACACACAAAAACCCTTCAAAAAAAATCAATGAATCTAGGAGCTTATTTTTGAAAAGATCAATAAAATAGATAAGACTGCTAGCCAGACTAATAAAGAGTTGAGGTGTATTTCTTTTTTTTTTTTTGATGTGCACATACAATTTAATATAACCTTCTATAAGAGGTTTATTTCTATACTCTCTGTTTGTTTATAAGTCACTACTTTTTTTTTAATAATTGAGATTTTTATGGTGCCTTTTAGCTTATGATGGTAGGCATCAATTATTGTGCTTCTCTGTTTTAGATTCCCAAGCTACTCTTGCTTGTTATTTTTCCATAAGAACTTTAGAATCTGGTTATATAGTTCCACAATTCTACTGGTATTTTCATTATAAATTAACCTAAGGAGAATTGATATATTTGTGGTGTTGGCTTTCCTGTTCAATAACACAAGACACATCTTTTCTGTTTGTTCATGTCAGACTGCTTTTGTGTGATATTTGAGTGTGTGTGTATATGTGTGTGTGTGCATGTTTTGTTGTTCACTTTTTTTAAAGTATTATCTCCACACAGAAAACTGTAAAAATAGTACAAAGCTTGCTGTTTATCTTCTCCCAACTTCTCCCAATAGTGACATGTATATATGTAACACAATACATATCTTTTGGCTGGTAGGGACTCTGCAGGGTCCTGAGGCAGTACTGGGTAACCCATGTTCAGGGGGCTGGGTATACTAGCTCAGGTCTCTCCTTTTCCTCTTACAGAGCCATGAATGCTTCACTCTCATGACTTTATCTAATCCTAATTACCTCCCAAAAGTTCCATCTCTCAAATACAATAGTCAGATTGCCCATTCTCTTAATACTATTACAATGGGGATTAACTCTCAACATGAGTTTCAGAGAGGATAAACACTTAAGCCATACTAATCATTTAAGATAACATTTCTTGAGTTCTTCCATATCAAAACTCTTTATACTAGTAGGGCCTTTTGTTGATGTTGAAATAATTAGCTTAAATGTTATTTCTTTGAAAATTGTTTCTCCAGTCTTCTAATGATGAATACTGCAATTCCAAAATCTGATTCCAAACTTTTTTGCTTTCCCTATTCTTAGATGACAAGAAGTTTACTTTTTTTCACATTTAAATTAACTAATTTTTTTTTTTTTTTGACATATCACAGTACTGATTGTTCTGGGTCAATTTCCCTAGACACTTAGTGTTCTATTTCAATACGGACATTCACATGTTATATTATTTTAGTATTTATTCATTATTTTTATTATTTCAGTATTTATTTATATATATCATTATTTCAGTAAAGTTTAAATAAAATCAAGATTGAAATATATATTGTTTGATTGTTTAGGTGTTCTTTTTTAGGAATTCCAATTATATGTATCCTCAATCTTTTTTTTTTCATATTGTTTATATTTGTCACTTTAATATTTTCTTTCTTTCTTTCTTTCTTTTTTAGACAGAGTTTCACTTCTTGTTACCCAGGCTGGAGTGCAATGGCGTGATCTCGGCTCACCATGACCTCTGCCTCCTGGGTTCAAGCAATTCTCCTGCTTCAGCCTCCCGAGTAGCTGGGACTACAGGCACATGCCACCATGCCCAGCTAATTTTTGTATTTTTAGTAGAGATGGGGTTTCACCATGTTAACCAGGATGGTCTCGATCTCTTGACCTGATGATCCACCAGCCTTGGCCTCCCAAAGTGCTGGGATTACAGGTGTGAGCCACCGCGCCTGGCCATACTTTATTTCTTTATTTTTATTTTATATTCTCAAGATTTCTCTCTCTCTCTCTTTTTTTTAATGCCCCTTACTTGATTTCTAGGTTGTCTTTTCTTCATTTTGTGATTTATAATCTAGGTTTTATTTCTGAAGTTTTTTCTCTTTTATTTAGTTTCTGAGTTCTGTCCATTCTTATTTCAAGCCTCCTCCATCTAGTTCTTTTCTTCTATTCTGTGGCCATGATTGTTTCATTTTTAAAGTTTAAACTCACATGTACTTACCTTTATATTTTTATCGGATTCATGGTAACTTTTTTTGGTGAGTTTTGTCTATAGTAAAGTAATATTTGATCATTTTCATTTCATTCATAACAGTTATTTGTAATTTTGTACACAGGCAGAATCTTTTCCTTTTCTACTTACTCAGATTTGAATGAGATATTTTTTCTTAAACTAAAGGAAACTTTCAGGGATGGTGCATGGGCCAAGCTTTGAACCTCCAAGTTATCTTTTCTATTGATACAATAGAGTTAAATAAGACTCCCATGTGTATTAACACTTCCTCTGCCTCTCCAAATTTGTCCTAGTTCAGTTTTTACTGACAGCCCAGGGTTTCTAAAATCTCTTCACATTTCTTACTTTCAGAGGTTGTATGCATTCCTTTGCAGAAAGTGTATTTCCTGGCTGTTTTGAGGTGTGCCATGTCTGGACCTCCTGTGAAATTTTCAAGCCTTTTTCTCATTCTTTCCTGAGAGATTCTTCCTTGACTTATCTACCTAAGTCTTACTCCCAGAAGATCCATATCAAGACCAAACACTCTCCTTCTGAAATACATGTTGGAGATATCTGTGATCTGTCAGCCCTGCAGTCCTGTCTGTATTTTCTGTTCCTCATAACATGTTTCTGAATCTATAAGCTGGTTTCCAGTCCTGCTTGAATTTTGGCAACGCTTATATGCAATTTCAACTTTGTCATTTTTTGGGTCTATGTCATAATTGTACTGAAACTATAATGTATGTGTGTGTGTTTTATTCTCTTTGCCTAGTTATCAAGAGAAGTGACATTCAGAACTAAACTTCTAAAATATTACTTTTATCTCTCTCATCTCACTGCTGGAAACATTGTTTGAATGTTTCACATGAACATTAACTAATAAATGTTCAATATTGTATTGATCATCTTCAGTTTGAGCTTTCTCTTTTCCTTGTATTTCCTATGTCAGTTAATGGACTTATCATTCATTCAGTTCCAAACTGCAAGTCTGGATATAATCCTAGATTTCTCCATATTTTATACCAGGTATATCAAATTAATAAGCTTTGCCCTCTTATTTATTTATTTATTGGAGTCTCACTCTATCACCCAGGCTGGAGTGCAATGGCGTGATCTTGGCTCATTGCAGTCTCTGCCCCAGGTTCAAGGGATTCTCCTGCCTCAGACTTCCGAGTAGCTGTGATTACAGGCCCTCGCCACCATACCTGGCTAGTTTTTGTATTTTTAGTAGAGATGGGGATTCACATGTTGGCCAGGCTGGTCTTGGAACTCCTGACCTCAAATGACCCATCCACGACTGTCTTCCAATGTGCTGGGATTACAGGCGTGTGCCTCTGTGTCTGGCCACCACTACTAAATTCTAAGAGTGCCTTCCTTTTTCTCCAGGGTTTCCCCTCAGTCCCATCTATCACAATATTTTCAAAACATTCTATCTAAAATGCCATCTGATCACTTTTGCTCCTAAGGTTTGGTGTTTTCAGTGGTTCCCAGGTGTGTACACAGAATAACATTCACATTAACATGGCAACAAAGGTCGTGTTAATGTGAATTAAGCCCTTAACCTAGCTCAGATCTCTTGGTCTCATTCATCATCATGCTATTCCTGTCCTAGAAAACTCTTGCCTGGGATATTTCAAACATTTTTTGGCCTCACTTTCACTGCTAAGGCCTTGTCCTCAGCCTGCTTGCATTATAAGAAATCATTTATCTTCATAGCTCATTTCATGGAATAGATCCTATAGCAGTTCCGAATCAACTCAAATAGAAATTACCATTTTTCTCACTTTGTTTACTGGTCAGCCTATGCAGGTTTCTCATGTCTTAAGGTGTTTTGTTAGTGTGTTAAAAACAAAATTAAAAATAACAAAAAATTTTTCTGTACTATGACACAAATGAATACTAAATTGATTTCATATATTTAGGAAGAACACATGAATAATAAATGTCGGTTTTCTTTAGAATAATAATAAAAATTATGTACTGAAATTCTAAAAGTTATTCACTCCTTTGTTGATGACACTCATGTTTTCTCACAGTGAAATTAACCAAAATTGATGTAAATAGTTAATAAATTCCTATAACCAATTATAATAAGTCAACATTATAATCAAATCTGTGTTAATATTAATAATTTTTCCCACATTTATGACGTTTCTATGTGTGTTAAATTAGGTAAATACATTGTTTGAAGTTAAACAATGTGATTTTTACACACTTTATGCAAATAAATTAGCTAAAAGAGAAATAATCATATACATGAATTGTGATAATTTAACAACTTTCCCTCTGCATTTGCTACCATGAAACACAGAGCAAATTATTTGCTACAAAATTCTAAAATCTTTCTAAAATTACTTTTCTTATATAGTAAATAAAAAATAATAATGACTGATATATACATACCGAATGATGGCCAAGATGATTGGTACACTACAAAAAGAAGAAAATACAAGTGTAGAAAAAATAAAAGCAAGGAACAAAGGTAATTTGTTGCACTTTGCATCACATTTCCCAGGTCTAGCATCAATAAAATCACCTTCACCATCTTCAGTTGTTAACCCTTCTTTAATGCAAGAACAATTGTAGTAAGCCTGTAAGCAGTGAAAACAGGAAGCAATCTTTCAGAAAAATAGTCATAAACAAAAGCTCTTATCATAAAATAAAAATTAAATCAATAACTGCAGGGAGACTCAATAGTTTTATTTCAAAATGTCTTTATATTAAGCCTGCTACGTATTTTTTAGAAATGAAACATTAATGATTTTCCAAGATATTTTACATGGCAGAGAATCTGTGTGTGTGTATGTGTGTGTGTGTGTGTGTGTGTGTGTGTGTGCATAATTATAGTTACTTAGGAAAAGTTCTGTTAATTTAAGAAATTTTCTTCAAAATGTTTATATTCAAATTCACAAGTAATTATCAGATCTATAAATAAAAGGAAATTTAAAATAATATAACAAATTAAATGAAAATGAAATTTTAGCTGAGATTTAAAATATAGACATTTACCCAATTGTGAAAGGTTTTGAAATCATACTAAAAAGACTTTATTTTGTATATAATAATATAGGCCCACAGTCCTCCACACAGAATTTTCAAGTCCAGAGAACTTTGAAAACCAAATGGTTTTCTTTGTAGCTTATTTGATGAAAAAATTTGATCTAGAATAATGTAAAACTATTTAATGTTTTCATTTCTCTCTCTAAATGAGAATATCATAAGTGTTGGTATAGAAATATTAATGTTTAATTACAATTGCTGCTCTGCTGAGTGTGGAATATAATATACAATGATTAGGTACTGTATTTCTTTTTTAAATCCAACAATTGAGATACTTGAAAGCAAGAATTTTAGATAAAGGCTTGTGAGCCTTTAACATGAGTATTTTTTTTACCCAAATGCACTCTCAGCTGAGAGGAAATTATTAATCTCTACACAGTTATGAGAGCAGAGTAATGGTAATGAAAATATAGTGCTAACTTAAACTTTACTTTTCATTATAAAAATATTCGTGTTCACTGGAAACATTTTTAAGATACAGAAAATTGAAAAAAGTAAAAATAGTCAAGTCCTCAAAGATGGGTATTATTTTAAAGTACATTTTTCATTTTCTAAGATATCAAGTTAAATAAAAGAACAAAGCACATAAAAAATATATAGCATGCTCTTATTTGTATACAAAGGCTCTATAAGCTTTAACATGTATATTTCTATAATGACGCATAAAAAGAGAAGGTAAAATTTGTTGCCTCTGAATATGATCACAAGGTATCAATGGCCTGTGATAGAAAGAAGACATATTTAACAGTGCAGCTTAAAATATTTGAATTATTTACAATGAACAACTACTACTTCATCAAAAACTGGCCTAAATTTTTAAAGTAACATTATAATGGTTATTCATTTGACAAATATTTATTGAGCATCTGCAAAGTAACAAGCAGTAATCTAGATACAAAAGTAACAGTAAACCAAAGATACAAATTCCGTAACAAGTACAGCATATAATCGAGCTTTTTAACTGAATTTTATATTATATGTATACATTTTTTCTTCTTATCTTTTAATTTATTTTTTTAAATTATTTTTCTACTTCTTATTTCTCTTATTTTTGAACTAGTCACTCTGGAAGTTTCATATTATTCTTTCAAGTATATACATCACCATCTACACAAACTCATTTCTATAACATAACTTGGCAATTTATTTCCTTCTGATTTTATAAATATTACTTATATGTACAACATCTCTTTCATTTTCTTAGAATTGAGACTTACTATTAAAAATACTGCATCTAAGAGCGTCAGCATTTTAAAGGTTGTTTGATATATATTTCTAAATTGCTTAAGAATATATTTTAAAAGTTTATAACACCAGATATATATAAGATTATGTGTTGATTTGAACTATCAACATTTTTCAATTTATCAAATTTAAAAAAAGACTATCTCAGTTGTTTTTATATTAGAGTTAAATATTATTTTCATAAACTTGCTATTACTAGAATGGATTTATGTATACAATGTTAGTATAAAATGTTAGACTAACAGAGGCATAAAATAATCTAAATTTTGTGGGAGAACACTAGAGAATGTATACTTGTGTTCTATTACCTACAGGGTAAAGAGGCAACTACTCAACTGGCATCGCAGAAATTAAAGCAAAGAGTAAGGCTGGAAAGAAAGAAGCTCTACATCTGATGAAACGATAAAACAGCCACAATCTTAGTTCAAAACACAGAGGATAAAAATAGTGCTTAAGGCTGGGCCTGGTGGCTCACGCCTGTAATCCAGGCACTTTGGAGGCCAAGGTGGGTGGATCACCTGAGGTCGGGGGTTCAAGACCAGCCTGATCAACATGGTGAAACCCTATCTTTTAAAAAAAAAAAAAGTGCTTAAATGTACTAAAATTTATTCCAAACCAAAGATACAAAAAGAAAATACACATACTTCGTTAGTCTGGAGGTATCTCAAAGAATTTTCTAATATGTGAACATGAATTTAAAAGCCACAATATTTATTGTATCATTATTTGTTATACAATTTTACAGCATTTAAAATAATTGGTGAGAGTCCCTTTTCTGACATAAGTCCTCCAAGTCTCATCCTTCCAATTGATTACAAATAAAAATTCTGTTTAAAATATGCAAACAGTAACTACCTATAAAAGTTCTAAATAAAGAAAAGCAGCTGAATTGTGAAGAAAAGAAAGATATTGGGGCAGAAAAAGGCATTTAAATTTAAAATTACTGAAAACTCCCCAAATTTGGTAAAAATATAACTTTATGGATTCAAGAAGTTCAGTGAATTCCTTGAGGATAATTCAGTGAATTCTTTGAGAATAAACTCAAAGAAAACAAAACCATCACACTAATGAAAACCAAAATTAAAAGAAAGAAATATTGAAAATAGCTAGATAAATCAATACTTATTATATACAAGTAAATCAATTATTTGAATCACCACAGATATGTCCTCAGAAAGCACAGATGCCAGAAGACAGAGAAGCATCATATTTACAGTTTTCAAAGAAAATAAGATCACCCCAGAATTCAATGTCTAGTGAAAATATTCTTTAGGAATGAAGGCAAGACAAAGATATTTTAAATTGAAAGAATACTAAGAGGATGTCACCAGCTGACCTCCTTTACAAGAAATGCCAGAATAAGTTCTTCAAACTTAAGGTAAATGATAATGCTGAGGGAAGCTCAGATTCTCATGAATGATGAATATTAAATTTCTGGGTAAATATAAGACTATTTTATTTTCATATGGTATTTTAAGTACATGATTGTTTTTTAAGCAAACCATAATATTATCTATCACAAATTTGATTATATGTGAAGCTATAAAACATGTTACAACCCCAACATAAATGTTACTGGGGAGAAGTAAAGGCACATATATGGTGAGTTTTATACATATATGGTGGGTTTTATATTATACTATGTTCTATAATATTAATTCTAAATAGACTGTGAAATGTTATATAATCTAAAAGCCATTCAATTAAAAATCAATTCAAAGAGATAAACCAAAATTTCAAGGTATATTAAAATGAAATAGTAAAGTATATTCAATTCCGATAATAAAATGGGCAGGTAGATCTAAAGTCAGCTGTATTGATAATTACATTAAATGTAAATAATTTTGAAACTCAAATTATAAAACAGAATTGGAGAAAAGGTATATCCATACTTACTCTATGCTGGCTACAGGAGACAGTCTAAACATAAAGACACAGATAGGTGAAGAACAAAAGGATAGAAATAAAATACACCATAAAAATAGCAAACTAAAGCTATGATAATTATTTCATATCACGTAAAATAAACTTCAAGACAAAGAATATTATCAGAGATGGAAAGGGGCATTTTAGAAAGATAAATAATTCATCAAAAATATGTGACAATTATTAATGTGTAGACATAGGAGCCTACATATTAATAAATACACAATGCAAAAATAAAAAGAGAAATACAATTATACAATTTTATTAGATCCTTTTCATACATAACGTTCAGAATTTAATACAATATTATAAGCCATACAAAGTGACAAGAAAAACTGGCTTAAAATTAAGAGAAAGAAAAAATATAATTAGATTCATCAATGAACTAGATAGCGGAGTTAATAGTAAGAATGTTAGAATGTTAAAATAGTTACGATTAATATGTTCCAGAAAGTACAGGAGACAAATGAATAATATAGCTTAAACTATGTAGAATTTCACCAGAGATTTGGATTCTAAAAAATAATAATAATAATACTAGAACTAAAAAATACAAGTGAAATTAGAACCTTGGAAAATGGGTTTAACAGCAGAGCAGACACTGCAGAATAGAGGCTTAGTAACTGGAAGACAGATGAACAGAAAATATCTATATTTAAATACGCAGATTAAAGAAGATGGAAAAAAGGAAAAATAGCAAAAGATTATGGAACAGAAGTAGAAATGACTATTGTAGTCTGGGTTAAGCAGAATTCCAAAACAGCACCCAAGATTCTCTCCCTCTATTGTATGTATCCTGCAGAATCCCCAGGACTGTAAGTTGATAATGAAGTAAAAGGCACGACTCAACTCTGTAAGTGGGGGCTCAAACTTTGGACCAAATTGAGGAGTAGTTAAAACAGAGACAAGGTGGCCGGGCACGGTGGCTCAAGCCTGTAATCTCAGCACTTTGGGAGGCTGAGGCAGGTGGATCACGAGGTCAAGAGATGGAGACCATCCTGTCAACACGGTGAAACCCCATCTCTACTAAAACTACAAAAAATTAGCTGGGCATGGTGGCACGTGCCTGTAGTCCCAGCTACTCAGGAAGCTGAGGCAGGAGAATTGCTTGAACCCAGGAGGCGGAGGTTGCAAAAAAACAGAGACAAGGTGAAGCAACTTTCCATAAGACATGCGCACTGGCGTGCCATGTCAGTTTACCATTGCCATGGTAACAATAGAAGTTACCATACCTTTCCATAGCAATGACCCAACAATCCAGAAGTTATTTCCCTTTTTTTCTCTCTGCCCTTAATTTGCATGTAATTAAACTGGATATAAATATGCCCACAGAGCAGCCTCTGAGCTATTATTATGGGCA